CTTTATTGTTTACCTCTTTTTCCAGATCATTTAGGAATATGTTGAACAGCACTGGTCCCAGTACCCATCCTTGGGGGAACTCGCCATTTACCTCTCTCCGTTGTGAAAACTGACCATATATTCCTACCTTTAGTTTCCTGTCTTTGAAGCAGTTACTGGTCCATGAAAGGACCTTCCCATTTATCCCATGATGTCTTACTTTGCTTAACAGCCTTTGGTGTGGGACGTTGTCAAAGGCTTTCTGAAACTTCAAGTACACTATATTCACTGGTTCATTCTTGTCCAGGTTTGTTGATCCCCTCAAAGAATTCTAGTAGATTGGTGGGGCATGATTTCCCTTTATAAAAAGCATGTTGACCCTTCCCCAACATATCATTTTCATCTGTGTGTCTGATAATTCTGTTCTTTACTATTTACCTGGTACTGAAGTTAGACTTACTAGCCTGTAATTGCCAGGATCACCTCTGGAGCCTTTTAGAAAAAAATTGGCATTACAGTAGCTTTACACCAGTCACCTGGTACAGAGTCTGATTTAAGCAATAGGTTACGTACCACAGTTGTTAGTTCTGCAATTTCATATTTGAGTTCCTTCAGAACTCCTGAGTGAATACTATCTGGTTCTGGTGCATTATTACTGTTGAATTTATCAATTTGTTCCAAAGCCTCCTCTACTGACACCTCAGTCTGGGTCTGTTTGTCAGATTTGTCACCTAAAAAGAATGGCTGTGATGTGGGAATCTCCCTCACATCATCTGCAGCGAAGATCAATGCAAAGAATTCATTTAGCTTCTCTGCAACAGCCTTGTATTCCTTGAGTGCTCCTTTAGCACCTCGATCATCCAGTGGCCCCGCTGATTGTTTGTCAGACTTCCTGCTTCTGATGTACTTAAGAACAATTTTGCTGTTAGTTTTTGTGTCTTTTGCTAGCTGCTCTTCAATTTTTTTCTTGGCCTGCCTAATTATGCCTTTACACTTGACTTGCCACAGTTTATGCTCTTTTCCATTTTCCTCATGAGGAATTGACTTCCAATTTTTAAAGGAAAGGAGTACTTGTGGCACCTTAGAGACTAACCAATTTATTTGAGCATGAGCTTTCGTGAGCTACAGCTCACTTCATCAGCTTTCAGAGGAACAGCTGTGTTAGTCTGTATTCGCAAAAAGAAAAGGAGTACTTGTGGCACCTTAGAGACTAACCAATTTATTTGAGCATGAGCTTGAGCTGTAGCTCACGAAAGCTCATGCTCAAATAAATTGGTTAGTCTCTAAGGTGCCACAAGTCCTCCTTTTCTTTTTGCGAATACAGACTAACACGGCTGTTCCTCTGAAACCAATTTTTAAAGGATGTCTTTTTGTCACTAACCACCTCTTTTACTCTGTTGTTTAGCCATGGTGACTTTTTTTGTCCTATGGCTAATATTTTTTTTTTTTACTTGCTACATTTAGTTGGAGCCTCTATTATGGTATTTGTAAAAAGTTGCCATGCAGCTTTCAGGCATTTTACTCTTGTGACAGTTAAATGGAAATTAAAAGGAACAATTTTCCTTATTTTTGGATAGTTTCCCTTTTTGGAGTTAAAGTGTTGCTGTAGTGGGTTTCTTTGGTGTTTCCTTCCCTACAAAAATGTTAAATTACTCATGGTCACTATTTCTGAGTGGTTCAGTTACATCCACTTTTTGGACCAGACCGTGTGCACCACTTAGGATTAAATCAAGAATTGCCTCTGCCCTTGTGGGTTCTAGGACTAGCTGCTCCAAGAAGCAGTCATTAATGGTGTCTAGAAATTTTATCTCCATCCTGTCCTGAAGTGACATGTTGAAATATCCCATTATTATTGGGTTTTCTGTTTTTGTAGCCTCTTTAATCTCCTTGAGCATTTCATAGTCTCCATCACCATCCTGGTCAGGTGGTTGGTAGTATATTCCTACTGCTATACTCTTATTATTCAAGCAGGGAATTTCTACACATAGAGATTCTATGGGACTGTTTGATTTAAGATTTTTATTGTGTTTGACTCTATGCTTGCTTTCACATATAGTGCCACTTCCCCACCAGCGCAACCTGTTCTGTCCTTCCTATATATTTTGTACCTTGGTATTATCGTGTCCCTTTGATTATCATCATTCTCCCAAGTTTCTGTGTTGCCTATTATATCAGTATCCTCATTTAATATCACGGTTCAAGTTCACGCATCTTAGTATTTAGATTTCTTTCGTTTATATAGAAGCACTTATAACATTTTTCCATATTTAGTTGTCTGCCTCCATGTGACGTAATTGACCGGGACTCTTTTTCATTTGACTGTTTCTCTTCAGTTCCTATGTGTACTTTATCAACTTCTATCCTCTCCTCTCTTTAGAGTATGGAGTATCCCCTTTAATAAATCCTGCCTTAAAATGTGTCTCTGTCAGAACTGTATGCTCTTCCGCACCTGTTAGCTTTCCCACAGCTGTTGGCTTTAAAAACTCTTCTGTGACCTTTTGATTTTTTATGCCAGCGATCTGGTTCTGTTTTGATTTAGGCGGAGCTCATCCTTCCTGTACAGGCTCCTTTTTTCCCAAGAGTTCCCTACTTCCTAACATACCTCTCCTCTGAACACCATTGTCTTGCTCATGCATTGAGACCCTGCAGTTCTGCCTGTCTAAACTGGCCCTGTGTGTGGAACTGGAAGCATTTCAGAGAATGCTACCATGGAGGTCCTGGACTTCAATCCCTAACCTAGCAGCCTAAATTTGGCCTCTAGGACCTCTCTCCTGCCTTTCCCTATGTCACTGGTACCTACATGAACCACGACCATGGGTTCCTCCCCAGCACTGCATATAGTCTTGAGATGTCCACAGCCTTTGCATCCAGCAGGCAATTTGCCAAGCAGTTCTCCCAGTCACGACTAGCCCAATTATCTATATTTCTAATAATCAAATCCCCCATTACTGTTACCTGTCTCTTCCTAATAACAGGGGTCCCCTACCTGAGAGGGGTATCCTCAGGCAAGTCCAGTGCCTTAATCACAAAGCCATCCTTCCTTCTTCAGGGCTAACACTTTGCCCTTGAAGTCAATGGGAATTTCCATTACATTCTGTATTTCACACATTAATAAATGCTTAATGTGTAACAGTGGAATCATTACAGTTTTATTAGCCATACATAATGCTTTCACTCTTGATATGACTTTGCACAGATTAACAAACTGATTTCAACAACACATCAGTGTGGGGGAAATAGCGGGACAGAGGCTAAGTGCCATGCTCTTGGTCACAGAGACCGTCATTGTCAGAGTTGGGATTAGCTATCAAGGGTTCACAGTTCATTGTTCAGACCATGCCTCTCTCTCTATTAGCAGGTCCATAACCAGGGTTGGGCGAGTGGGACAGCTGCCCAGGGTGCAAACCCACAGAGGTGAAAAAATGGGGTGGAGAAATGCTGAAAAAAACACAGCAGAGGGTGCAAATATGCTTGGTCATCCGGGGTGCTAAAATGTCTATTTATGGCTAGTTAGAATATTTTAAAATGAAAAACAGTGCTTTATTACAGTGGTGTCCACTAGGGAAGGGCCAGTTTGTGTTTGTGACAGCCCCCCCATTTCCACTCTTTAAGCTTTTGGCTGTTTGCATTTGGTAAAACAGCAAACAAGCTGTTCGTCTAAATGGAATGTTTTCTTCCATAGATGCCTAGATTCCAAGGCCAGCAGGGATCCTTGAGATCATCCACTCTGATCTTGTATAACACAGACTAGAGAACTTCCCCACAATAATTCCTAGAGCAGATCTTTTTGAAAAACATCCAATCTTCCAAGTGTTAAACATGGTCAGTGATGGAGAATCCACCATGACCCTCGGTAAATTGTTCTGAGGGTTAGTCTCTAATTTTGCTTTTTTATAAAATGTTGTTTTAAAAAGCGCCGGTCATCTCAGGGGTTGTCTGTTAACAAGATAAAGCTTATAAAAGGCTTCATTTGAAAACATGGGATTTAGGGCCTGATCTTCCGAGGATCTCCATAAGAGTTGAGGCTTCCTAACATCTAACAAGATCAGGCCCTTTCTAGTGTTCTGGGACCACACTGGGGAATCCCAGATACCTGGACTAGGAAACTAGCTTCTCATTTCCAGTGTGTGGCATATGTATTATGGATTTATGATTTCCTCTCTCAGCTGTTTCATATTGTAGCTGTCTCCTGTTGTTGTCTAGAATGCAATTTTGGTAACAAAATAGGAACTGAAACAAACAAGGCGGAGTTCGGCCCAAGGAATGGCTGTATTTTATTACTTCACGAATATTAATCGGGCACACCATGGAGGAGAAAGACACTGCAGAGGGAAAACGGAATGGCTGCTGTTGTCTCCTGTATGTGCAGTTTACACCCTACCTCTGTACCCTACACCAGGCCCAGCAAACGGCGGCGGCAGCCCCGTTTAGGGTCGAAACGAACTCTTCAAACGCACGCCGCTGTTCCTGGGGAACAGAGGGCCTGGGGCGGCTTATCCGACAAGCCGAGGGAGCGAGGGGAAGTTCTCCAGGCGTCTTCAGAAGACACGGTGGCATCGAACAACCCGCTCTTGGCGGGGTCCGAGGCGGGCCGGGGCGGGGGTGCCAGCAGCGGCAGCAGCGGAGTCCCGCGGGCTCAGGCGCGGGGGAAGCAGGGGGACACGGGGGGACACCGCACCCCCCAGGCTGGCAGGGGTTTCCCCTCAGACCCAGGGGTCACGGTCTGGTTCAATGGCTCTGAGCCCCCCCCAACCCCCGCCCGCGCCCGCGCGCGCGTGGGGGGCGTTAATGGGTTTGTTGACTCGGGCGGGCGGGCGGCGCGCGGGCGCGGTTGCCATGGCAGCAGCCGGGCCGAGGCGCAGCCGGACGCGGCGCGGCCCATGGCAGGCGAGCCGGCGGCCGCAGGGACTCGCGGCGCTGACTAGGTAAAGGGCCGGGCCGCGCGTCTCGGGCCGCGCTGGGCGGGCGGCGTCGGGCTCTGGCGCGACGCGCCCCACCCCAGAGCTGCTCGCACGGCGCGTGGGGCGGGCTGGCGCGGGGCGCTCGCTGCGGCGGCGGCCAGTCGGGGAAGCCCTGCCTGGCTGTAAGATGGCGGCACCCAGCCTGCGCCCCTGCTAGGAGCTCCGCCGGCCCGGGTCCGCTTAGCGCCGCTTCGGCTTCTGCCCCGGCCCCCTGGCATGCTGCGCCCCCGCGCCGGCCCCTCCGCGCCCGGGTCTTGCCATCGGCGGGGACGCGCCAGGTAAGGCTGGAGCGGAGCCGCCGCGGCCGGGGTGCGCAGCCCGGCGGCCCCCGAGCGGGGCGGCCCGCGGAGCCCGGCCCGCGCGGGGGCGAGCAGCGGGCCCGGCTGCGCCCGGCCCAGGGTCCAACCTGCCCGGGGCGGCTGTGCCCTGGCGGGGGAGCCGGGCGGGGAGGCGGGAGCCGAGCTCCCGGCGCGGATGCGGTCGCTGGACGGGCTCGGAGCGGGCTGTGGCCGGTGGGGGTTGGTTGTGGGGATTTTGCTGGTGGGGGAGAGCCCGGTGTCATGGCCCTGCTGTGTGAGATGTCAGCTCGGAATTGTGTGGGCGAGTGAAAGTTGAGACTGGCATTGTTCGCGTCCCAGGCTCGTACCTTGCCTGATGCCCAGGCGGCTAGACAAGCCTGTGAACAATTGATAAAAGTTTTGGTTGGGAAAACGCTGCTGCCGTAAAAAGGAGACCGTCGCAGTGTTCATAGCCAGTGCCTCGCCTCTCTGTTTAAAGGCATATGGGCAGCGGGTGTTTATGATGCATTACGCTTGGTCAGTTTAGCCTCCTTGTCCCTTGCTTCTGTCCAGCTAAACAGTTTTGAAAAAAATGCACGTGGGGCCCTTCGTTATCTTGTTAACCCTGAAATAATTCAGTAGCCGTATTTTGTTTTGCATTTTCGGATTTTTAAAAAAACCTACGATCCAAGCTGCTGAAAGTATTTGAGACCGTATCTTCCCCTGTAAAATCTGGAGGCAAGGGAAAATGGCATTTAGTGCCGTATTTATGCACCCTTTTATTTCTGTAAAAACAGTGCAAACTGTTTGATGGACTCCTATGTTACTACAGTAAACAGAGAAGGCTAGGGAGAGATTTTTTTGGACTCCAATTAAGACATGCGCATTTGTTCATTCTGGCCACTGCACTGTAGTCTGCCTAGAAACAAAGAGCCCAAGCCCGGCTAAGTTGAAGTTGGCTCTGCGGTGTGTTGTTTGCATCGTTTGCTTGTAGGCAGAGTTAATTTAAGGAAGTGTCTAGAGCAGTTTGTTTTCTCCTGTCTGCAGGTAGAACCTCCCACGCTGGAAGGCCAGGGATACGCATTTCAGAAAGCATGCGGCCATGATAGAGATTGCAACTTCTCCCATTTTCACATTTTCGCCCTGCTGGTCTGACAGTTGTCAGTAGGTGTGCCTTCAGCCAGGGTTCCTCCTCTTTGCTGAATCACTGAGGATCTATGGCTTTATGGAGCATACACTCAAGGAAAAATATCCCCAAATAGATGTTAGAAGAAAATGTAAAAGACCTGCTAACGTTAAATAGGCTCTGGATGTAGAGTTATTTTACAGGAATGAAAGCATTTCTCTTTGCAGCAACATTAGGTGTGATGTAGTTTCGTGTTTAGAGCATTTAATGGCAAAATATGAGCTGCTGTAATGAGCATCCTCTGGCGCTGACGTAGTGAACCTGTCTCGCTCCATGAGCCTGATCCTGCATCCCTTACTCATGGGAGTAATCCGTTCTCATATAAGTAACTCCACAAAATTCAATGCAGGATCAAGACCTGCGTGTTTAAAGCTTTGAGTAAATGTGCAGCACCATATGCATGACGGATAGTAGTAATAACACTGATGTGTGTTTTGTGTTGACTAGCATTTGAATGGCCAAGAGTCATGACTCATGGATTCGCCTAAAATCGGTCAGTTAAATTGGTTTGATGACATTGTTACAGGAAATTATTTTTGACTACAAGAAAATACTTTCTGGTGCCTGATACTGAATTGTTCTTAGTCGTTCTTTATGGCTTTCTCCCCTCTCTGTGTCGATAGTTGGACATGAATAGCATGTGATGGGATCAGAAACTTTGGGACAAGATTAAATTACAGCACTTGTTGGACATGTCATGTGATCCTGTAATTAGAGTGAGGGAATAGTCTATGCTGTGTTAAAGCTATCAAGTGTCCGACAGAGTTGGAGCAGCCTAAATCAAGTCTGGTTCTGCTGGGATTATTCAGTGGCAGAGGCGATGCAGTTAAATTTCCACAAAGCAGCTTCCCTGAGGTTGAAGAGATGGGGTTTTCCACCCTTTGAATATTCACTGTTGGTATCCTACCAATTTAAGGTAGTACACGTCTTCCCACTGTGGAGTTTGGATGGTTCTTTAAATGACACAGTGCAGTTCTGAGAGCTGCTGGCTTGGTTACAAATGGGGGTTCAAATCCTACTCACGCAAACCCTCAGGAAAGGGCTTTGGGCCTGGTTCTGCAGTCGTTGCATAGGGACCCACTTCTGCAATGTTTGTTCGTTTGAAGAGCATAAAAACTGCATGATGCTGTCTCCAAACTTGTCTCCTTGTCCAATGGGATGGGAATTAGTTTGCCAAGAAAGAAACCTATGGACAGACGGAGCTTGTTTAGTAGTCTAAGCTTCAGGAATCCTGGAGTCGCAGGCATCCACACTCATAGGTGTCAGACCTTTAGCTGGCTTCCTGTCTGTTGGGTAAAAGTCCATGTGGTCTAGCATGTTGGCGTGTGTTTGCTGTATGATTACATTGCTCTGTTGTAGGAACCATAGCATTATTACACACACACACAATTTGAAAATGCTTTGCAAAGCTATTATGGCACGAGCCATTTTACAAGTGCTAATTTCCCGTGCGTGCTCTCTCGCTCTTTCTCTTTTAAAATGAAGCCATTTTAAATTTGTGATGGTCCAATAGATGATGAATAGCTTCAGAGCTACTTAAGCAACAGATTCTTTCTGCCTGTTTTAATTATTGTAGGGTGCACATCTATTAAATCCTGCTACTGACTTCAAAGCCCCTCAGAACATTTTAAGCAGGACCCTAAACAGATCTGAAAGTCAAGGAGGAGGATGCTAGGTATTTATTTGTTCCTCCCCTCTGTGCTTCCTGGAGTAGTAATACCAGTGAAGGGCAATGAATACAGAGCTACCAGGTGGTTCCCTGCGTCCATCCCACCTCTTTCCCTTCCTCTGAGCACTGCTTTAGAAAGCCGTGAGGTGGGGTTACTATCATAAAATGGCATTGTGAGGTTCCAGTTTCATTATTTCTCTGATCAGTTTTTCTTCGTTTACAAGTCACAGGATGATTTTCTAGGCCCCAGTCTGTCAAACTCATACGGGGATCTGAAAATCAGGCTGCTTTCCCCCGCTGCTTTTGTCACCAGTAATAATGATTCCGATGTCAGAATTTGGCTCACAACATGGCTCATGATGCCCAAGGCAGAATAAGAATCCACCTCACTCTCCTCTAGCTCTAGCAGTAGTAAAAATTATCTTTAGCAGTGGGGCAAACACTTGTGTGACACTCACACACATGGAGCAGATGCTGTCTTCACACGATCACTTTTCTGACCATAACCACACTCGTAGTCGCATGTGGAAACCGAATGGAGTGTTAGGAATCCTGCACTAGCCACTGAAATGGCAGTTGTGTGCTTGAAGGCAGCGTTTGAATACATTTGCATTGACAAAGGTATAGGTATGCACAGAGGCTCTATTACAGCACTCTGAAAACCAAGTCCAGACAGAACAGAGGAGAGCTGCCGCATCACACCGGTCCAGCGTGCCATCTCCCCAGATCCAACCCTCCAGCCCCCTTAATCACAAAATGTGTTCTAGCAAAACATTAGAAAATTTGCAGACATGCTCTAAACATTTGCCTGAACAAGAAAATAAGCCTAGAAGGGGGCAAGTATCCTGTTTGTTGTAGAATGTTTTTGTCTTTACTCATGTAGAAGCTCAAGAGTACAAATCTCTTTTGATTTGCCCACGTGCTTTCCATAAGTAAAATTTCAGTGAGAAAATTCTATAATGCTTTGGTGGTAATTCTCTCTTACCTGGCAGGTAAACAAATACCTCATGCGTATTTTCTCTCTTTTTAATAAACATGCTGTAGACCGCCAGCCAAGGCACACATTGGTCTCTTAGCCCTCTTGCCAACGTAGCCCCTGAATCAGGGTCTAGCTTAAGCACGCACTCAGGGTCCCTTGCTTCAGTGGGATTTGAGCACATGCTCAAGGTGCTTTCCTGAATTAGTATCTAATTTGCATCAGATACAGTGCGGCAGTGTAGTGGTTGTTTGTTTAAAAGGTACATGCGCTTCCATTTTTCTGGGTAGACTCCCGTAAAGGGCTGTGGTTTTACACTCAGAAGAGATGTTATATTCCCAGATTAGAACTAGTATCTTCAAATATTTTCTTGCCCCAACTTGATGTGAAGGACATACCACGGGACTGATTCTTCCTCTCTCACTTTGAGTAGTATCCTGTGATTAGCGCTATCGATTTAAATTGGACGTCTCACCGAGTAAGGTTCCACTCAGCCGGGGTAAGGGTAGCAGAATCTGACTGTGTGCTTTTCAAAGAGCACATATAGCGATATGCAATGGAAAAACTGTAGTCTTTAGGGGATGGTATTTTATGTCTAAGGGCTTCTGAACGCATAAAATCAGGGAGAATGCGCCTGTGTAATCCGATCTGTTCTTGAAAGACTTGCAGAGGGCTGCATGCTGCAGACATAAGCTGTGTCAATAAGAACTCTATTCACTCTCTGAAAACAGCCTCGTGATCCAGGTTTGATTGGCAGCCTTCCTAAGGGAGGGCTCTTTTTTGAGCAAGAGCTTGGATTTTGGCGGCACTTCTGACTGACTCGACTGCCTTTTCTACCTCCCATTTATTGTTCTTTCCTCGGTGCGATAAACTTGGATTTCAGATCTGGAGGCTTCTTGGGGGAGCAGTGGGAATTTCATGCAAGGATAACATGAGTGCAAAGAAGGTTTCCTTTCTCACAATGCAGCTCCTCAGCCAAAGCAGCTTGTAGGAAAGAGAAGGTGACAGATTTAGAAGAATATGAGGTAGGAGTTGAAATTGCCATGTGTGAGAGAGAACATTCATGTGTGCTACTCAGGGTGCTTTAATTACTGTATAAAGCACATGCCCTTACGAAAGTCAGATATTTTATTGTGCAGAATATATATTCATATGCCCTTATGCACATT